GGACAGGCGAAGAGCTCAGAAAGGAACTTGGGATAAATTGTGAGAGAACTTGTAGACCACCAAAAGGGTTTGGGCTTTTATTCTCAAGGAGATGGAAAGTCATTGGAGAGTTTTGAGCAAAGACATGGTCTGATGACACTTTGAAAGAATCCTATCCATATTCTGTTGAGAACAAGCTATGGGGAGGGGCAATGGAGCGCAGAAACCAGTTGCAAAGCAGTGGAGGTATGAGAGAGGCTTTAAGCTAAGGACCAGGTGGTCACAGCAGACACATGAGAACTGGCCAGAGTCTTGCTATATATAAATATACTTTTTAAGATTTATTTATATTTATTTTATGGAGCGCGAACGAGCAGGAGGAAGGCCAGAGGGAAAGAGAATCCCAAGCAGACTCCCTGCTGAGCATGGAGCCTGACCCGGGCACCCCTGGTGCTGTATTTGAAGGTGGACCCAGAAGGATTTCCTGACTAATTCGATGTGGGTTGTGAGAGAAATGGAGTCAGTGTGACTCTATGGTTTTTGGCATAGGCAAGTGGAAGGATTCAGTTGTCATCAACTAAGATGGGAAGGAATGCTTGTGGGGTGGGTCTGGGGGAGCAGAGTGGAATTTTGATTTGGACTTTTTAAATCTGAAATGAGTAATCATGAAGATGTCAAATAGAGGGGTGCCTCGGTGGCTCAGTTGTTAAGCATCTGTCTTCCGCTTGGGTGGTGATCCCAGGGTCTTGGGATTGAACCCCGCATCGGGCTTCCTGTTCAGTCAAGACCCTGCTCCTTCTCCCTCTCCCTCTGCTGCTCCCTCTTGTGCTCTCTCTTGCTGTCTCTGCTTGTGCTCTCTTGCTGTCTCTGTCAAATAAAATCTTAAAAAAGAAAAGACATCAAATAGAATATTAGAGGAGTCTAAATTCCAAAGTCAAATGGGAGACATAAGTTTGGGGTGTCAGCACATAAATGCCATTTTGAAGTCTAAGATGAGGTAAGGTTTCCAGGGAGTGCGGTGCGTGTGGAGAGTGGACCCAGAGAGGACTCCTGGAGCAGTGCAAGGTTAAGAGTTGGGGACAAGAAGAGCAACAAGGGAGGCAGGAAGACATGGAGCCCAGGAAGCTGTATTAGGAGAAGAGCACCATTAATCACATCAAAGGCTGCTGTGGTGGGACGAGGAGGGCCGAGAGTGGACTCCTGGATCTCACAATGCAGAGGTCATGGCCACTCTGACAAGAGTAAGTTTGATGGAGCGTGTGAGAAAAGGCTCAGCTGACCTGTTTAAGGGAATGGGTGAGAAAGAACTTGAGACAGCAGACATAGACAATGTCTTCCAAAGACCGTTGCAGAGATGAGGTGGAAGCTGAGGGCTGAGTGGGGAGAAGAGCTGGTTGGGTTATCAGGAAGGAAGAAACAACAGCGTATTTGCATGCCGCTGGGGATGGTCCAGGAGGGCAGTCTCTCTCCCTTGGTACACAGGCCCCACGTGTGTCATCCTGGAAGATTCCTCGGAGAGGGTGTCTGTTACTCAAGATGTAGAGTAAGTGCTCGGCCCTTGGCCCTGCTCAGTTGTGCATGTGGGGACTCGTTAGAAACTTCCTGTGCTGCAGCCAAAAAGCAGGCTGACGCTCACAGGCCGGACAGTAGTTTCTAGTGTTTAGTAGGCATTCACCAAGTGCGACTCTGGGGGACTCAGGGACGATCGGACCATTCTCACTGGTTCTCTCACGCACCAAATGACTGGATTATATTCAACACGGTCGTTTTCAGAACGCAGTTGCTACGGTGCTTCCCATGTCCATTCCTAGCTACAGCACTTGACTTGTGAAGACTATACATCTCAGGGCACAGTCTGTCCCCAGTATCCTCCCCTGGCCATACCTTCATTGGGTATTAAGATTAAATTTAATGTGTAGGTAGGTGGAGGGAGGTTGATGCCATGACCATCACTCTGGTTGTCTCCAAGGGCAGCACCAAGCAGCCGAGGGCTCCACCAGATTTTCTCACTGGGACATCTAAGAATGTATCCTCCTTCCTCTCTTCAGGCAGACATGACTGAGGGAAAGCCAGAGTATTCCACCAGTTTTGTCCACAGTTGAGACTCAATGATTTTACAGGGAAATTCCTCCTTGATTCCATCAATAGGCTGTACATTGGGCTTGGTTTTTGGTGACAGAATATTTTATCTTTCTCTTCTTTCCCCCTCCATGTACTCTGTTGGAAAGCTGGGATGGGTTAAATCAGCATGATCAGCCAGATGTTATGTGAGCTACGCTTTGAAGGTAAGGCAACAAGTAACATATTGAATAAGCCAAAGTGCTTAATCTTGTTTTCTATGAAAGTTTATTTTACTGTTTAGTATGGAGGGGCTACAAACACATAGCTGACATGAACACAAGGTTCTAAACTTTGCAACACTGGTAAGGGTGATTATGAAGAGCGGAGAAGCCGGAGACCAGGGCACAGGACCATCGCATTTGCTCATCTCCACCATACATCTTAAAACAGCAAAGGCACTTTTCAAAAGGTTAAATAGAAGAGCATGGAATTTCAAAAAACACATACCCAAAGCATAAAAAACAAGTGGTTGAATTTTCTTATATTTTGATTTTTAACATTTTACTAAAATCTCTGAAATATGCAGTGTACTTTTTAGCCTTGCAATCAAATCATTATTTAAGACTTCCTCAAATGAAAAGAACCTGATGGAATACTATAAAATCACGATTTTTCTATACCCAATTATTGTTAAAGAGCCCTACTATCACCTGGTAAAGTCCAAAGGCCACTATCATGTGCTTACCTCTTCAGGGAGGACTATGGAAGCGGACTCTCACGTACTAGCACACTGGTGTCTTTGTGGTTTCCTAGGTACACTGATCTAGAAAGTGCCAGGTCCACAGCATTATGCTGGGTGCTGTGGAGACACACAAATATGGTATCATCTGTGCCTTCACAAGCTTACACTTACCCACTCTAACTAGGTTGGTCATGCTTTCCTTTCAATTCCTACTGACCTGTTCCAAGCAGTTTTTTCCATCCCCCACGCCCACCCCCCAACCCTGTGCTGCCCAAGCAGTTTTATAATAAAACAGGAGCCAGATTCAAAGTTTGTGTCCCCTTCCCTTATTTCTACTTGATTTTCAGAAAAAGAGTTAAGACCAAATCAAACTTATAAAGACAGACTGAGTCCCACATCCGTCTGACCCATGGTTCTGTTTGGCTACACCATGGACAGAGCAGGGGGTAGACTGAGAAGGGCAACTCTCCGCTCCTTTGGACTCAGCGCCTTTACAATGCTCTGTGAAAATTTCCTGCACACATGTAAGCACTACCACGCATTCTAAAACAAATACAGAAATGCCTTCGGACTGATGCATGCCCTTACTCCACACTCAGAAAGATAAAATTGACTTCAGTCACATTCCCATTGTGAAAACACAAAGTTAGACTCATGAAACAGAACAGTTAGCTATCCTTGACTTGTTAAGACTCAATACAATTAAGGACCTTTTGTAATGGCATCCCTTCCCAGCATGAAAAAAACAGTATCTTGCATGTGTTCTAGTCCGTGTACAGACACACAGGTGTAGATAGGAGTAAGTGTGGGCGACAAAGCTGACAGGGCAGCAAGCATGTTGAAGACTGGATTGACCATGGGAGATTTCAATTTTTTATTCTTGCTACACAGAATGGAACGACGTCCAATTTTGCCGTAGAAGTGCTGACGTTCTCTTCTAACGCGGAGCGCTTGGATGGTAAATGATCTGCAGGGCGCTAACCCGTGTATTTCTCTATCTGCTGTGAACTAATTAGTCCTCCATTTTAGATGTTCCATTTTCAATACTGAGCTTTCTTTGAATCAAGAAACCCCCAAGTTCATAAAATCGGAGTGCAATTTTCAGTGAGCTTTATCAGGATGGAGAAGCCAAAAGAGCACTAGTGACACTGGGTTATAGTCAGAAGGAGTCAGTCAGTCAGTTTTATAATCACAAACTACAGGGCATAGGCTTCAGTAATTAAACATAAATCATAAGGGTATGTTTCAGGCATTATAAAAATAGTGACCTGCTTTCACTGGATACCAACTAGTATTTACAAAGCTACTTGAATTTTTCTGTTGATCTTCGTTGCTGTTAAATAATGATAGTTTTGATAGTGGTAAAACTTCCATTTTTCAAGTGCAGGATGATCTGAGCTGAATGAGAAAAAGAATGATTAAGGGAAGGAAGGTAGGTAGGCCTGACATCAATTTGAACAACATTTTTTGATTGTAAGAAGCTCGTGTCTCTAAGATTACCATGGTAAAGTCATAAGCATGCCAGCCGTTTTAAGGGTCTCAGGACTCATGAAGACCAAGAAACACAAGGATAAACCGTGTACCAAGCCACCACTAGAACACAGAGTGACGTGCTCGCCACCAGTATTTCTGGCAGTCACATATATTTAAATACAAGGAAAATAACATATATATGGTATTGTAATTTTTTATGGTTAAAATCAAAACAAATAATTTTAATACTTTATTAAAAGAAACACTGGAAACGTGGATTCTTTTTGAGAAATAATATTCATCTTCACTGCTATCATGGAAAACCAGATTTCTCCCCTAACTAATGGAAAATTAGCCACTGCTGAGTCTAGTGCCAACCCCAAATAAAAGACATACATACATAGGTTAGGACTGATTCTGTCCATCCCGCTAAAACATTTCCATTCCTGAACTGTATTAGCTACTAAGATTCTAAAAATGCTCATTTTCCTGGGCATCCTATTTAGTCAAAGGATTTAATATTTCTTTTGTTATTGACATTGATATTTACGAAGAGTAGAGAGACCAGTGACAATACCCCCGGTATGTAAAACATTTATCTTCTTCGAAGTGTTATCAGACTATCAAATTTAGCGTAAACTGCAGATGTCTTGAGTAGCTACTAATGTGCTTTCTCCCTTCATATTTCTTTCCATTTAAACAGAACATTTTTGCTCTTAGTACTATTCCTGTAGAATTTTTAAAAAAACAAACAGATTCTATGTTTCATACATTCTGAATTAAAATGACCAAAGAAATAAAACCTATACAGGATCATTTGTCTTTCCCGTTTCAATACTGGGTCTTCTATTAACCGCATTTCAAATTTAGTTATATACGTATATATAGTCACCATATCCATGTGCACAAGTTTCTGCAGGACCTCCAATTTTATTATAAAGCTTCCTCCTCGAACACATTTGAGGACTATGTCTTTTCACTTTGACTTGTTTAAACAACACAAGGAGGCTGGCACATTTTAACGTTAATATTACATTTTATTGCTGTAAAAACATTTAAATTAATGGTGACTCTAGCTATTTGGTTACTGATGATGGATGATTACCTCCTGACTTTCTAGACGCATCACTATTGGCTAATTTGACATTTGACTAAACAACATGCATCTCTCGGGGGATGATTAGGAAATGCAAAAGTAGCAAATTCTGAGCAATGATTTTGCTACATTGAGCACTTCTGGCAGAGGGACTAGTTGAAATTAAAGAGGGAAGCTATCAAAGTAAGATTAGAGAATAAGTTACCTGTGGATTTCATTTACTCACATTATGTGTGGTTCCTCCTTATTGGAGGCTAACTGGAAACAGACTGGGCCATGCTGTTCACTTTCAAACACTCCAATGATGTTCTCCAATAATTTTATTATCTCCAGTTTTATGGTGCCATACTACGCTTTTTGTATTTAAGTTTTCCATTTCCATAATCCATATGCCAAAAAATTACTACACATTCCCTTTTACAGTCAAAAATAGGTTTACTGGAATGTTTCAGTTATAGCTGAAGGTAGCAACATTTACATTTAGCTTTTGTTACACCCATAAACATGTGGAAATTGCTTGCAAAGCAATCATAATGTGAGAAGAATCTTGCAAATATTGATGGAATGGCTATGCATGTTTTAGTACTCTACATAGGCTTCTGGACTCCCAGTCTCACCCCCATGTCGATGCCATAATGCAAGTCTTTATAGTAACAGTATGAAATATTATGATCACTGTTTAATTCCATGTACAAACAATGAACTGGCAAGTATCTAGTTTCAAATTAGATCCTTGGAATACGGCAAAAGAGAGGCTGGTTATCTTTGCCTTAAACATAATTTTTAAACACATTTTGTTTGAAGGGAAGAAGAAAACTGGACATTCTCAATGCTCCAATTTGAAGTGATACTTGCCTCTTAGTTTCTTGAAAAAGAAGTTTTGAAAGTTATATACATAAGTTTCATTTAAATTATGCAGCAATCTTTTATTATTGTCCCAGATTTTGTGTAATGAAGAGCTCTGTCACCAAATCAAGCACGGTATTTCAAGACTGTAAGAACTGCAAGAGAAAAAAGTGAAAAAGGAACACGTCAAAATCAGATTCAGATGGTACGTTAAACAGTCTTCCTAAATGTAGCAGTCTACTTTTGGAAATAGGTAATGAGAAAGGAGCTTTTTATTTATTCGTTTTAGAGAGAGAGAACGTGTGTACATGGAGCAGGCAGGCAGGAAGGGGAAGAGGGAGAAGCTCAAGCAGAACCCCTGCTGAGCACTGAGCTCGGAGCCCCACGTAAGGCTCCATCTCACAACTCTGAGATCATGACCTGAGCTGAAATCAAGAGTCAGACACTTAACTGACTGAGCCACCCAGGAGCCCCAGGGAGGAACTTTTATCTGAGACAAAAGATAACAAATGGGAATGATAAGCAAAAATATCATAAAACAAACTAAATGTCTAACATTGGCATTTCTTTCTTTGAAGATTGTAAACGATTTCCATACCCAACATGGGTTGCAGCCCCAAGACCGAGAGTCACATGCTCCGCTGGCTGAGCCAGCCAGGTGCCACTAAATTGGCATTTTGATCAAACAGATTATGGTATTACCATAGCATACAGCTGCTACAATATTTTTAAAATGTTAAAGATTTTAAACATATTTTCACAGGTTATTAAATAATATTAAAGTATATTAGTTTTTGAAAAACATGCTTAATATCTTAATAGGAAAAAACGACGTATACATGATACTTATATTAACAGTGGCTATCTCTGTATAGTGGGATTACAGCTGAATTTTATTTTCTTCTTTATACTTTATTCCACATTTTCCAAATTATCCACCATAAATATATGGTTGATTCTTGGTGTGTACAGTAGTTATAAAGTCACCACAAATACTCAATTAGTGAATAATAAACCCTCGTTCCTATAGAAAATACAGGGTTAAATTCCTGCAAGCCTCTGGTTACATTTTTGTCAACCAGTCCATATATAACCTTGTGTTTCTGTTCAAAGATAACCTTTATATATGTTGTTGATTCATGAACATTGAACTTCTGGCCAACAGCACTACAACTTATGCCTAAATGAAGCTTATCAAACACAGGTGTTTTCCGGAAAGCCCATCGCTGCCTTCTTTTTTTTTTTTTTTTTTTTTTTAAGATTTTATTTTATTTATTAGACAGAGAGGCAGGCAGAGAGAGAGGAAGGGAAGCAGGCTCCCTGCTTCACAGAGAGCCCGATGTGGGGCTCGATCCCAGGACCCTGGGATCATGACCCAAGCCGAAGGCAGAGGCTTTAACCTGCTGAGCCACCCAGGCGCCCCCCATCGCTGCCTTCTTGAGCTTAGCAATGCTAGCCAGCACTTTAACATGAGCTTGGGGACCATTTTCAACAGAGAACTCATACAACAAAATACACAAAAATGTGAGAAATGGGGCACTAAAAAGACTTAGAAAGACTTATGAGAGCCGAAACTTGATAGGCAGAGCACGGCCTGCTTAGACATCGGCTGGGAACATACACTGCAGGAGGCTGATTTTTCACTGCTCTGAACACACCAGCCACCAATCGGGGAAGGACCTCCAGGACTGATTTCTGGCTTACACATCAGTGTTTCGGGTGAAGCCACACAGAATCCACGAACAAACTTTTCCGTTTAAAAGGAGTCTCAGGCTCAGTCGGTTAAGTGTCTGCCTTCGGCTCAGGTCATGATCCCAGAAGTCTGGGATGGAGCCCCGCACTGGGTTTCCTGCTCAGCAGGAAGCCTGCTTCTCCCTCTCCTGCTTCCCCTGCTTGTGCTCGCTCTGTCAAATAAATAAATAAAATCTTTAAAAAAGAAAAAAGTATCAACATGGAGTTTTTCAAATGGTTATTTTGAGACACTTTATATATCTTCATAAAACCCCTATAAACACAGGTAAAGAAAGAGGCCTTGGAGAAAAGGAGGTAATAAAAATGATCTAACTTTAATAACATTATGGGGAAAAAGAGAAGACAAGAGTTAAGTTTTAATGGTTGAAATCAAGTTCAAATCTAAAACCAAACCAAAACAACACAACAAAAACCATCATATGGAGAAAATCTAGTTGGACTTGTCCTCCAAACAAAGTATTATGAAATTAAAAACTTTCATACCTGAAGTTAATGGAAGATGGATGGAACAGTCGCCACCTTTGGCCTAGAACAAAGAGCTCCCCCTGTATTTGTGGGTGTGTGTGTTGGGGGAGTAGGCAGGATTCTCTGAGAATCCAATAAAAAACACTCTCCCCATAAAAATGTGCACATGCATATTCACAGTACAATTTTTCAGACAATTTAAGGACATTTTCAGAGATCCACAGACCCTAGTAGGTTAAGAGGTCCTAATCTGGGTCAGAAGTCTTTACTCAGTCCTGACATAATCAAACTAGATCAACTGAAAATAAGAGATTAGAATAAACTCTGAAACAAATGATACTGCCCCAAATTACTAATATAGTAAATACTTACTGATAATCACTAGCAAAAGGATAACCGCAACCAAAGCCATGATGGCTTTTATCTACAAGACACAAAAAGGCATTAAGATAGGTATTAATGTTTGACTTGTTAATAAAGTCAAAACTATTTGTTCTTTATTACATTATACTAACTCATCAATGAATCAATGAATAGGCTTATCCCTTGAAAGCTTGTCCAATTTCTTCTTATGTGAACTTGCTGACTATTTGCATCTTTTTATAAATAATCAGAGTTCCCAGATTCAGGAGTTTTTGCCTGGATTTTATGTTCAAGGCTGTACTGCACCATAAACAGTAAGAATCAAAGGTTTCATTGGCTTGAATGCTGCGTCTATCTATGGCTTCTCATGCTTATTTCTAATATGAGGCCAAGAAAAGTATGAAATTTTAGCAACTCTGTTCACAAGTGTCAGGATACAAGGAGTAACACAGGCATCTAATGTAACTCATTCTCTCCGTGTAAGGTGGCATTTTTTTATAGCACTTCATCTCAAAGTATATGAGAATTCTATTAGTTTTTGTGCCCCTTACTCTCTTTCTTGGCATTTTTGTCTCCATTTTGAGGATACAGTCCTCATTTAATAACCTGATTTAATAACTTGCCTAAGAGCACTCTTGGCCAGTTTCACAGTTGAGAGGAGAAACCTTAAGATCGTACTTAGCTGCTTAATATTTTCAGCTCACAGCTCTCTGTAAAACTGTCTCATTCCTCATTTAATCCTAAAATGTGTAAACTATAAATTAGTTTGATTTTCCTGATGAATTCAAATGCAAGTCTGATTTTATCAAACATTTCACAATTGATTAAAGACGGTTCGTTAATTAAAAAAAAGATGCCCACTACTATAAACACATGAGCACGAGAAACAGCAACCAGGAGCAGCTTTAATGTTTCTAAACTAGAGCTACTGGTAACATTTTAGTGGCATCACATTTATGACAAGAACAAAGTGCCTAAGAGAACACATGGAAGCTTTGCAATTTGGACACCAGGTGCCTATTAAAATTATTAACTATGATAACAAAACAATGTTGATATTATCCCACTTCACCTATTGGATAATTTTGTTCACTTATTTTTAAAGTCAGGTTTATTGAAATATACCTTATCTAGAGTAAAACTGACGCTTTTAAAGTGCATTTTGGTGGGTTTTGACAAATGTACAGTTGTCCAACACCACCATTAGTCAAACATAAGGCATTTCCATCACTCCAAAAAGTTCCCTCATGACCTGTTCTAGTCAGTATCCACCTCCCTACTCTTAGCCATTGGCAACCTCTAATCTGATTTCTATCCTTATATCCCTGTCCTTATCCTTTCCTAACTCATCTAAGTCAATTCAGAAGATGGCAGTGATATAAGGACTATTCAGAAATATAATTCAAATGTAATTTAAAAATATAATTCAATTTTTCTCCTTAAAAACACACTGTTTTTAAAAAAAGCATACTGTTCCTCTGATCTGATTTAGATATGGCTAAGAAAAGCTAGGCAAAATGCACATTATGGTCATCTTTTTGTGACATGAACGGGTCACGTGTCTGTATGGGGAAAGGAAGTGAGAGGCCCATGGACCCTTTGGTCTTCTAAATCAGACTACAGAGTAGAGAACATCTATAAAAATGGAAAACTTATTTTTTAAAGGGGAAATTTATTTTTTAAAGAATAAAAATTTAAGCCAAAATTAAAATTCCTGACAAGGGGAACAATGAAACCTGATTTTTTCCTCCGTTCTATTTCTGAAAGTAAGCTGATTCAACAAGTCAACAGACAAAAACAAGTAAATCCAAGGAAATTCTCGGAAGAAATCCTTAGCATAAGGCAATATCAAGTTTATAAAGTTATCACTAAGCTTGAAAATGAGAGATTAAAAACAATGAGTTTATGTCTAAGATTTTCAACAAACTCAAAAGTTGGGAGGAAAAAAAATTGCTCATGTGACATGAAATTCACGATAAAAATCTTAAAACATTTGCTGTTTCCCATCCAAGTACTAACCAGGCCCAACCCTGCTTAGCTTCCGAGATCAGACGAGATCAGGCGCGTTCAGGGTGGTATGGCCGTAGACAAAACATTTGCTGTTTAATGCTTAGACGTATTTAAGAGGCAAATTCATTCCTATAAAATGTTTTTGCAAAAATATGTTAATGTATATATCGATTCTCATGTTTTTCCTAGTTAAACATTTCTCTTATTTCTCTGGAATAATAAAGGATAGTGAAACTTTTTTAAAGCTTCATTTGTCATAATGGATTCTGACATATAAACTGGTTTTATTTTTTTCCCTTCCAACAGAAAACTGTATTTTTCTCTTGCTTCCATTCCATCTTTTTAATATCTCTGTAACACTTTAAGTTGACCCAAAAAGGTACTAATAATATGAAAAATTTGTATTTCTTACAAAGTAGTAAGAGTGTAAGTAGCTAAATTATTAATAAAAGGTGGGACTGCTTGATTTCTTTAGTTATTTGTGTCCCCCAAACTATTAATTCAACAAATATTTGCTGAGTCCCAGCATGCCCCAAGTTCAGCAGCTATTATAAACAAGGCAATGGTAGTCCCCGTCCTCACAGAGCTTCAGATCCAGAGGCCCTCTAGCCTTTGAAGACCCTCTGAGACGCTGGGCAACTTACCCAGTGTTCTGACTTACTTTGCATCCACGCCACCACATTTGCCTTCGAAGTTGTTTGGATCTGTTGCTAAAAGCAGTTGCGTTATCCGATAAGCTTTCTATATCACATAGAGGATGGAGAGAAGGATTAAACGACATAACAGGATTCTTTTATCTAGTCACACAAAGACAAGAAAATATTAATTTCTACTCCTGCAAATGTAGTCCCTTTTAAGCATGAAAACAACATCCTCCCTTTCCTCCACCCACAAACTCTGGCAATCTGTACTGGGGGGGAGGGCATGGAAGCAAAAAATGACTGTAGGTTATTTTTCCCAGGGTCTCAATGCTTTCACATAAACTTTTGAATTCTGGTAAGAAAATACTCTTTAAAACTTAAAATACTTGGGGCGCCTGGGTGGCTCAGTGGGTTAGGCCGCTGCCTTCGGCTCGGGTCATGGTCTCAGGGTCCTGGGATCGAGTCCCGCATCGGGCTCTCTGCATAACAGGGAGCCTGCTTCCCTCTCTCTCTTTCTCTCTCTGCCTGACTCTCCGTCTACTTGTGATCTCTCTCTGTCAAATAAATAAATAAAATCTTTAAAAAAAAACAAAAAAACAAAAAACTTAAAATACTTGACACACCTATGAAAAAAATTGGCATGTAGAAAAGGTCAGATTCTTAGAAGATATAAAAAGTGACTGATTTTGAAGTAAAATAATGAAATTTATTTTTGCTGGGACAGTATCAGTTGTATTGAGGATATGGAACAGTAGAAACTCTCATATACAGCTAGTAAGGATAAAACCTGGCAGAGATCTAAGGACTTCGAATAATCTGACAGTATCTAGTGAAGCTGAAAATATCTGTCCCCTAATAAACAGCAATTTAGGGGCGCCCGGGTGGCTCAGTGGGTTAAGCCGCTGCCTTTGGCTCAGGTCATGATCCCGGGGTCCTGGGATGAGTCCCGCATCGGGCTCCTTGCTTGGTGGGGAGCCTGCTTCTCTCTCTCTGCCTCTGCCTGACTCTCTGCCTGCTTGTGCGCTAGCTCGCTCGCTCTCTCTCTCTCTCTGACAAATAAATAAATAAAATCTTTAAAAATAAATAAATAAACAGCCACGTATTCCTAGTTACATACCCTAGAGAAAACTTTCATACGCGCATACAAGGAGACATGTGCAAGCATGCCCACTACAAACCTGTTTAATAGTGAAAAAGATCTGAAACAACTCAAACATTTAATAGGACAATTTAACAGGATAAATAAACTGTGAAACGGCCTGAAGTAAAACAACGAATTTTAAAAGTGGTTAAATAAGTTTTGTGGTTCGATAAGTCTTTCAAGGATGAGTGAGGTACTTAGTCCATCACTGAAACATTATTTGAGAAGCGAACATGTGCCAGTAACTGTTAAAAGTACAGGGACTAACATTTGTCAGTAAAGAAATGTTACTAAGTTATCAGAAAAAGCCTAAGAGAAAAATATCAGATTAAGTTTGACATAAGTGTTGAGAAGAAGTGATCAGACTTTTCCTTCTTGAGATCATAAGAAATACAGTGCTCATGAACATAATAAGGCAAAAAAAAAAAATTCTACTCTCACTGTTCAACAATAAATTAAAAAATTTTCCATTCTTAACCCAACAATTAATGCAGTAAGGTGATTCAAGTAAAGGGAGCTAAAGTTAAAATACTAAAATCACAAACTTAAGAACCAAGTATCATTTTCCTAAACCAGGATTCCTAAACCCTGGCTAGAGAAATGGAAGGAGAAATAAACTATCACAACACAGATTAATAATATCAAGAAATATATGAAGTATCTGTACCTGATTTGTCCTGTAGTTCATCTAGTCTCTCCCCTCTTTCAATTACCTTTGTAATATTTTCTTGCATGACATCAATAACTTCATCCACCTGATTCTGAACACTAGTTTAAAAGAAAGATTTAAAAATTACTTTTTCTTTTGAGCATTTTTTAATTTTTGAAACGTTCGTCAGAAAAATTCCATGATAGAAAATAGCAAGTTTTCAGAAAAATACTCAACTATAAAACGTTTAAGTGAAGGCTGGGTAGCATGGCCCTTCCATTTGTGGCCTTGAGTACTCAAGAAATTAAAGATACTATAAGTGAAAGTCATATTTCACTTAAAGATAGGTTAGCCTTGTCCCTACAAATTTCCAGTGTTCAGTAACTGCAGATCTTAGTCAAATAGCTTAACTCTAAGTAATCACTTTCATTTCCTTTTCCTTAGGCTACGGAGCCATCCCACAGAGGCAGCTGTAACCTACTTCCGATGCAGTTTACACACTAAGGCTAACAAAGGAGTTTGCGCCGGTGTGCGATTAGCTTATGACAGCACTCGCTTTCCAAGCTGCAAATGTAGGAGGCGGCCCAGGTGTTAACTGTTCTCTGCTCATCAGTTCTCTCTCAAACAGGTTTAAGACGAGCACAGCCGCGAAGGTTCTGAAGCACCCAAGAGGGAGGAGAGAGGAAACATTTTTTGCTGTTTTTCAAAATGAAAATATAATTTCCTCCTTTACGTTAGGTGATGAGGGCCTGTTCTAACCGAATTTCAGACGGTTTACTAAAGACTTAATCTTCATTCATTCATTCATCAGGACTTACCTTGAGTACACAAACACAGAAATGTTTAATAATTTAGTATTTAGTTTTCCTCTGTTCTCTTAGACAAAAATTATTTTAAATTACCTCATAAAATTGCCATGCCAGTGAAATATTTAAAAGGAGAAATAAAGTGAACTCATGGTTCTTACTACTCAAATAATATTTAAAATGTACTGGATTGCAGGCTAGCAACCATATATATGTGTGTGTGTGTGTGTGTATATATATATATATATACTTTACATACACACACACATATACTATATAAGGATATGCAATTGTTTCTAATTGGGGAAGAAAGAATTGCATCAATTACCACCTACACTGTTTTAGATAAAACCTCACAATATACACTTTGTCTGTGCCCTCTATTCCCCAGTGAGTCAGGGGTGAGGTATGGATGCATAATTTTATGAGTTTTACCTCTTCCCTTTGGAGACCTGTATCTTCAAAGTTTGCTTTAAAATCAAAATGAAGATCCATTTAGACACAGGTGGTTTCAGAGTAGTCGCAGATTCAAGTAGCAATGACTATGTTTGATAACAGTCCTTTCTTCTTAAGTGAAAAGTACTATGTAAACCCTCTGATTATCCACACATGGACTTCAGGGCTCATCACAGCTCCCCAGAATTCTGTGTTGCCACACAGATCCTACAGAAGGACTTCGGACTGAAGTACAACCAAGCCACAACACACAGAACTCTCTTTTCTGCCCAAAAAGATCTGAAAAAGCCTCTGAATCCCTAAGAAGGCTTGTTGCAATTTCTAATCACCTAAACGAAGAGCTAAAGATGTTCATCCTATATAAGAATAATGGCACACTTAAGCAATTCATGTGTTCAGTAATCAATGAGAGCCCACTATGTGTTGTTTTACGACAGGAATGAACAAAGCAGACAATCCCAGCTCTCATGGAACTTACGTTCAAATGCGAAATGAGTGCACTGAATGAACCTTCAGAGCTGTGACACAGCCTGTCTCTCTGTCCCACTTCTCTACTGAATGCATCTAACACTAAGTGAAAGTACGTAGCTGTTTCCTGCCTTTCCCCAACTAGAAGCTAAGCTTGATGAACAATGAAGCCTTGCCCACTTCGTTCACTTTTGCAGCCCCCAAATCAGCAACAGTGCCTGGGAGAGCACCTGTTTGATGAACATTTGTTGAATAAGCCAACAATTAGGGTATAAGTCCTGCAAAGCATACCCAGTTACTTGAGAAAGAGAAAAGGCAGGGAACGTAGAGGCCTCCACTGAACTCTGAGAACTGTAACAGAGATACAGCTATTGTTCATCGAGGACCAATCTTGAAACTCCCAAGGTGGTTACTTTTTGTCATTTGCAAGAGATGACAAGAGCCTACAGTAAGGCAGTACTGCGGGGTGGGTGTGGGCAACAGAGACCGCACCCCTCCACGTGATCAGATCATGGCTATTATGGATACTGATGCCCTATACATTTTAAAACAAAAACAAAAACCTGAAGAAGTAACTCTGGTCCTAGAATCCCCATAAGCAAAAGACCTCATGGATAAGGGCAGATTAACTGGGACAGAACCCATAGAATTCCAGATTAATTTTTACTAGATTGTCAAAACCTAAGTACTACCTCAACAACATGGCACACATGTAATAAATCTCTCACTAAGAGAAATCAACCAACATTTTATTTTTTCTGCTAAGGATTAACTAACAAATTGCTTCTTTTTCTTTCACATATTACTGTCTGCTGGTATAACACTCTTAAGCCCTCTATTGTAAAACCTTTTTTTTTTAAAAGATTTTATTTATTTATTTGTCAGACAGAGTGAGCACAGGCAGACAGAGTGGCAGGCAGAGGCAGAGGGAGAAGCAGGCTCCCTGCTCAGCGGGGAGCCCGATGTGGGACTCGATCCCAGGACGCTGGGATCATGACCTGAGCCGAAGGCAGCCGCTTAACCAACTGAGCCACCCAGGCGTCCCTGTAAAACCCTTATTGAATGGAAAAATCTCATAATTGTGTTTCTGTATTTCAAGATGTTCTCATGCCCAGAATGCAACTTCTATAAAAAATTATCTACTTATTTTAATATAAAGGATAATTCTTTAAAAACAAATGGTAACATATCTCCCATGAGATTACACATTTTCATAGCAGTTATAATACTGATCTCTACTTGTATTTTTTTTTTTTTAAAGATTTTATTTATTTATTTGTCAGAGAGAGAGGAGCGAGAGTGAGCACAGGCAGTCAGAGTGGTAGGTAGAGGCAGAGGGAGAGGAAGAAGCAGGCTCCCTGCCAAGCAAGGAGCCCGATGTGGGACTCGATCCCAGGACGCTGGGATCATGACCTGAGCTGAAGGCAGCTGCTTAACCAACTGAGCCACCCAGGTGTCCCCTCTACTTGTATTTTATGTTGATCTTATCCTTACTACACTTTTTTTTTTTTTAAGATTTTATTTATTTATTTGAGAGAGAGTGAGAGAGAGCATGAGCGAGGAGGTCAGAGAGAGAAGCAGACTCCCCGTGGAGCCGGGAGTCCAATGCGGGACTCGATCCCAGGACTCCAGGATCATGACCTGAGCCGAAGGCAGTTGTCCAACCAACTGAGCCACCCAGGCGTCCCCTTACTACACTTTAAATGCCTTAAAAGCAGAGACTGTCCCACTCATCCTTTTATTTCCTAGGTCATGTGAAATATGCCTGATAGAAATAGGCATTCATTCATTCAAAAAAACATTTACTAAGGAGTTATTATTATACTATTTATTGAGGACACCAATGTGAAGGGTTTAAGTCCGATCTTCAGGAAGATTAGAGTCTCCCGGGGAAAACCAGGGTCCATGATTCTACCGCCGCGCAGTGCGTGGCGTAATGGAAGGAAACTGTGGCATCAGCTGTGCAGCCTGGACCAGACAGAGATGGCAGCAAGGTCCTGGCAATGAGTTTTAAGGGGTAAGTGTGAATTGGGCAGAGTAACGAAGGAGGCTGACAGTTGACAGTGGGCTAAGGGATAATATATAAGAGGAGGGGATACTTCAGGTGCCAGGTGATTAACTAGACACTAGTGAAGAAGTTGGGGCAAGAAAGGGTAAAAGCAGGAAAAGGGTAGAAGCAAGAAAAGGGCAGAGAGATTTGTAATTTGAGCAACTGAGTGTCAGGAGATGATGTTATAAATTAGAACAGAAAATTAAGAACTCAAAGGAAAAACAAGTTTGTAAAGGAGGGTGTGGAGATTTATATCATTTCCGGTTAAAGGAGAGTCATATGGTAGAAAGAAGGGCACAAGAGAGAACATACCCAGGAAAGGATAAAGATATACAGAAAGGAAAAGATATTCCCATGTTGATTTAAATCATCCTTAGGGCCTGACAGCACCTGCATTCCTGAAATGCCTCTATTCCAATTATCAACAGGGAAACTGCATGGGGTAGTAGTGTCCATGGCAAGCCTCCTTGAGTCATACTTTCTCACCTTTCGATGAAAATGATCATCTCTCACTTGTGAGAATTAGATATAACAATGTTTTTTAAACACTTAGCACCAACACCTAACACTTCGCATGTGCTTAATGTCAATGATCTATTAGGGAAAGAAAAGTCATGCTCTGCAACAAATACTCTAAAGAAAAAAACTTATTTTCATAGTTAACACCCCCATCTTGTGGCTTTTTAAGGTACTGTTGACGAAAGGAGGTTTTAAAGTTATGTTGTATTTTTGCAACTATATATATATTTCTGTTGCATCATGGAACATTCCTTGGGGACCTTTTTTATAAAGTTAAATTGACTGGACCAAAACTATAGTTAGGAAATACCCTACCCCAACAGAGGATGCCTATAATTCACTAGAAGTGCATTTATAAAGCTATAATTTAACGGAAAAGCAAAGAAAACGTTCCAAAGGGAATCATACATTTTATATAGGCATGTGAGTATTTTAAATCCTCCACCAAAAATTCTTCCATAAAAAGTGATGTTGAGGGGACGCCTGGGTGGCTCAGTTGGTTGGACGACTGCCTTCGGCTCAGGTCACGATCCTGGAGTCCCGGGATTGGGTCCCGCATTGGGCTCCCAGATCCATGGGGAGTCTGCTTCTCCCTCTGACCTTCTCCTTGCTCATGCTCTCTCTCACTGTCTCTCTCTCAAATAAATAAATAAAATCTTAAAAAAAAAAAAAAGTGATGTTGAGTACTTTTGTGGGAATAATCTGGTGTCAACATGCCAATCAATCTGAAATAAAGCCACAATGTTGCTGACCCCGCAGCAGGACATACCCTGTATTAAATGTCACAAACTAAGTAGTGACAGTGCAATTTAAGAAACTCACCGGTGCTAGCAATTTTGGTTACTCAACTAATACCAGGTATTCGTCCATGGGCAAGCTGTGTGGCAGGCTGTGCTCCGCCATCTTAGGCCATTTAGGGCGCACACAATGAGTCATGCCCTGATGAAATCCGCATTCATGAGTTTGGGCCCACGAGGCTGAATACGTATGTTCTGGAGACTGATCACCTTCTCAGTCTGGCAAACCTTTGGCTCTAGAGTGAGAACCGTTATACTTACTCAATAATCCCTACTGTTCTAAAATTCTGTGATCACCAAAGATATTGTGCTCCTTAGTTTGTACATAAACACTCATGTGTGTATGTGCTTGGCACCTGCTAACACAGACACTTTGTTTCGATGCCCAGGAGTGGTTTGGGTTCATCTGGAAAACCATTTTCAAAAGACTCAATAAGCCACACTTGGTCCTAGGCTCACTCTGCAGGAGGATATCAGACAGGAACAAAGCACACTGACAGGACAAAAACCAAGTGTGTCATCAGTGGAGTCCTCTTCGCCGGGCAATTTAGGTACATGAACTACGTGGGTGGGTAGGGAAGTCACTCCACCTCAGTGCAGCGTAACAGCTCTGCCATGGCATCCCCATGACCCCGAATGCTTCGCAATCCTCCCAGAACACAAGATGAATGGCCTGTGAGGCCATCTCCCACTCATCTCCCTAGAAGACTGTCACAAGATAATTTCTTACCACCTCCCAGGTTCTGATGATGTACGGAAGCTTCTTCCGCAGGCCCTATGTGTGGACCACAAAGCACCGAGCTACAGGGCTGAACTGGCTCCTTTGTCACAGGGCATCCTACAACTCCCATCACAGCAGTGCAGCCCCTTTTGTTTTGGAGTCATCATTTTTGGTGTGTAGAACAAGACCCCAGAGAGTCTGGTTACTCTACATACATAATGAACTGCCTGAATGTAAGTAGCTCATTGTATCTTTACTGGCCAGATCAGAACCTTGGAGCAGCTGGGACTTTCTTCTGCTGGCCTTGAAGGAGCAAGTACCACGAGTTCTATTTCTGCAAGAAGAGTAATTCTGGCAACAACTACCTGAGCTTGGTGAGGAGCTTTGAGTGAGATCCCAGCCCTAGCAACACCTTGATTTCTGGCTTGTGAGATCCCATGCAGAGGGCCCACCTAAGCAGTGACCAAACTCCTAGACCCATGGAAAATGTGAGATGATAATGTATGTTGTTTTAGGCTGCTAAGTTCAGGGCAATCTGTTATATAGCAAGAGAAAAGGAAAACATCCTGTCTAGCAGTCAAATCAGTTTTCTGGAACCTTGGTTCTGTATTACAGAATCCATTAACTAGGATTAGATCAAGTGTGGACTTTTTTTTTTTCCACACCAACAGCTACCTGACTAAAGCCCGAGTATCTGACCAATAGCTTGATTCCCTGTTACAGCACCCTTCCCAGTGGGCGACAGCCGTATCCTGAACGAAGACAGCAGGGACTATCCCTCCTCGGATCCAAATCCGGACCATTTAGTTTATTGTCCGTGACTAGTCCTCAAAACTCAGTCAGTTTCCAGGGCTACTTCACTGTTCCCTCTAACATCAGGTACATTTACGATAGCATTACCCACCAACCTACCACCACCAACATACACAGAAAAAGCTTTACACTGAAAACTACTTAGCTATCTATAAATCTTAGATCAATATAGGAATTAGGATAAGTAACAGATATGAAAAAATTCTGAAGGAATATAAAAAATATTGTGCTTTGAAAAACAATCTATTACACTACTTCTATTAATTTTGAAAACGGGAATCAAGCAATAGATTTAAAACCAAAAAGGACATTAAGATTATGCTAAATAAATGGATTTGACAGAAAATAATCGAGTTAAGAAAAACCAACACAGGAATTGGATTTCGTTAGCCACTATTCAGAGGTAATTCTGCAAAAATAAGAAGAATTATTGGGTTTTTACAATCCAGTAGTTATAGTTAGTCTATATCAGGGCTCAGCAAATTTTTTCTTTAAAGGGCCAGATAGATAATAGATATTCAGATTTTGTGGGCCATAAGGTCTCTGTCACAACTACTCAAATCTGCCACTACAGTTTGCTTTCAAACAAACAGGCATGGCTGTGTTCCAATAAAACGTGATTCACAAAAATAGGCAGCAACCAGATCTGGCTCACAGGCTGCAGACTGCCAACCCTTGGTGTACATAGAAACAGGATAATCACTTAAGCCAATGCGTATCTCAGAAACTTACTGCTTAATTTTATCATTTCTAGGTCCAAATCTTGGTCCAGATGGTCCCCTTCTGAAAACAAAATACCAAGTACATATTTAAAATGAGAGCTTTAAAAAAATATAGAGAGAACACACACACAAACACACAATCAAGCTCAACTCTAAACATGGATCAGTCATTAATTATAAGAAACCACATCTTACTGGTATTGCTGCAACTGAATGATATTTAATCACATCTGTACTTTACTGGTACTTGGTACTGGCAACAACTAACCTAATTCTTCTGAATGTTAAAATTTTCAGAGAAAATAGGATTTATATAACCTTTGTTTATACACAGGTTGTTCTAATCACTAACCTCTGAAACATCCTAACAGCTCAAGTGCCAGCGACCATGAATAGCTTTACGGTCAATTATAGAACACTAAAAGTAAATTCACCTTCATATTAGGTTATCATAAAATGCTGATTTATCAGGAACAGATATAAAGAGAAATCCATTCAAAACACTAGTATTTTTCTTCTCATTCCTCATCTTAAATTTATCAACAAAGCTAAAGGAAAATCCAAGAGTCTACGAAAATACCAACATTTCTCAAAGCAGTTCTTAGTTCAGTGTTGTATCATTTCAACCATTTTAATATTCTGGAAATAAGATGTGGATGTTTTAAGTAATTATTATTCCTATGAGATAGAGAATAAGGTATAAACCACAAAAATTTTAAGAAGTAGGATCTGGTGCCTGGCTCAGTTGGTAGAGCATGTCACTCCTGCTCTCAGGGTGTGAATTTGAGCCCCATGTTGGGTATAAGCGCTTACTTTAAAAAAAAAAAAATTAGAAAAGAAAATAAAAGTATCTGTACCAATTAAACACTAACTCCCCATTCCTCGTCGTCCTAGCCCCTGGCAATCTCCATTCTACTTCTGTGTCCCTGTGAATTCGTCTACTCTACATATTTCATGTGAGTGGAATCATGTAAAAATTTATCCTTTAGTGACCAGCTTCTTCCACTCAGCATAACGTCTTTGAGGTTCATCCATGTTGTAAGTGTGAGAATTTCCTTCCTTTCTGAGACCGAGTAATAAAGGCCAAGTAGTATTCTACTGCGGCGATGTACCCTCTGTCTATCCATTCACCTGCTGATGGACAGTTAGGTTGTTCCACCTTCTGACTATCGTGAATAATGCTGCTATAAACTTGGGTGTTGATTAATTTTTTTAAAAATGTATTTGTTTCGTCTTCAACACCCACACAGAAGCACAGAGTATGGAAGCTACATTCTGAGCAAGTGTGCCCGCCGGCTGTGAGGCCCTCTGAAAGATGCATGTTATTCGGGAGCGGACGCTCAGCAGTCCGCTGCCGGCCTGAAGACTGAGTGTTCCTCACAAGGGTCTCCAGCTTCCAAGGAGGGAATCACTTACTTAACCTTCTGCCCTTCTGTTCGACCCAAAGTTCCATTCCAACAGGAAGCTACTGCTCTAGTTCTAAGGCTTTTCACCATAACTGGCACCGTGCAATTCGCTTTGTGACTCTCTGGAAATCTTGTCACATGTAGGAAATGATCTTCCCACTTCCTCTGACCTTGTCAAAGCGATACGATTTCCTGTTCATGGATCTGCTTCCTGTCCCGCAGGCTCCTTTCGCTCACTGCTCCACAGCTGTCAATGACTTTTTATAAAATGTTTTTATTTGTGGGGGGAAAAGCCTCTACAAAAATTCTGCAACATTGTTACAAAGAGAGAGGCAAATGTTTCTCCTGAGGCACACCCCTCTACATCAATCTCCAGAGAAAACTCCCACAACAATACCCCGCCTTCCTGACTCTGCAAATACAAATCTAGGTCTGTACCTGTACCCACTCGGCCCTTTCTAATCCTAACTGTGAAGAACTGATCACATCAATTAACTGACGAGTATCACGGCAATTCAATGGGAAAAGGATAATCTTTTCCTCAGATGGTGGGGCAACAACTTAGCCAAATGCCAAAAAGAAAAAAAAATTCATTCTTCACCGTTACCTCAACCATATATAAAAATTTACTTCAAATAGATTATAGACCTAAATGTAAAAGCCAAAACTATAAAACTCCTGGAAGAAAATATAGGAAAGAATCTTATTGAACTTGGGTTTTACATATATTTTTAAATAAGTAAAAATAAGAAAAAAATGTAATAAATTGATTTCCTCAAAGTCAACAGTTTGATCAAACTTCAAAAGATACTGCTATGAAAAGGAAAAGATTAATAAGCTACAGACTGAAAGTACGTATCTGTAAAACGTATCTGACAAAGAGCCTGTATCTTAAATACATAAACAACTGAGTAAGAAGACACATTTAGAATTGGGCAAAAGATTTTAACATGCACTTTATCAAAAAAGATACAAACAAAAAAAATACACACAAAATACACACAAAAAAAGATGTCCAACATGATTTGTCATTAGGGAAATCCAAATTAAAACTATAGTAAGATACCGCTACATACCTGTAAGAATGGCTAAAATTAAAACACTGACCACATATACTATTGATGAGGATTTAGAGCAACTAGAACTCTTGTACAATGCTGGTGGGAATATAAAATGGTACACCACTTCGGAAAATAGCCATAAAAATACGCTAGCCATTCAACTAACTCCTAAGTATTTCCCCAAGAGAAATGAAAGCTTAAGTTGACAAAAAACTTGTATGTAATTGTTTATAGTAGCTTTACTCATGATAGCAAGAACTATAAACACTCTAAACATCTATCAATAAGTGAATGGATGGATGAGTTGTACTACATTCATATAAGGGTATACGTCTCAGAAATAAAAAGGAACCACTGGTATGTGGGACAGCATGGATGAATCTCAAAATAATTACGGAAGTGAATGAAGCCAGTACAAAAAAAAAATGCCTACTGCATGATAACATTTATTTCACAAATTCTAGAAAATATAAACTACAGTGATAGGAAGGAAGCAGATCAGTGGTTGCCTTGAGACTAGGGGAGTCACAGATTCCCAAGTGGTATAAGGAAACTTCTGAGGTGATGGTTATGTTTATTACTTGATTTCGGTGATGATTTTACAGGTGTGCAGTACATGTATCAAAACTGATAAACTATGCATTTTAGATGTTAATTATACCCCAATAAAGCTGTTAAACAAAAAGCTTACAGAAAAAAGTCTTCTTCTTCATCCGAATCATCTTCCAGAAGATTTCTCTGTCAAAAAAAAAAAAAAAAGACTTGAGTTTTCAGATTCAGAAGGCTTACAAACTGTCAGAGAGGAGTAATGAAAGGAGTTCTATCCTGGTGAAATTTCTTAACTCTGAGGTTCCAGCCAGAGGGAAGAGTAATTTACCTGTGCTTTACTGAAAGCTAAAAGACAGAACCAAATAAGCCAGCCCTCCAACAAAAATGCTTCTAATAGCAAGATCCTATGATTGACTACAAGGCAGAGAGGTCGCTGAAGCCAGGGTGGGAATAAGGAACCGGAGGCAATCAGGAAGAAGTTAAGTCCCTTGTCCTCCTCCCTCTTGCTTTCCAGTCTCTCTACAGGCAGAACCTAATAGGGAGCCAGAGGGTAGAGGAGAAATGTAGTTGCAAAGCCAATTCCAGCATCAGAGAGGAGTACAGAAGACAGGTTCAGAACTGGGAGACAAGGGTTTAATGGCTGGCACAGTCCATCTATTACCTTCATAGCTCACAAATAACCCTCCGGACATATCAGAACTGCCAAACAACAACAACTTTATACCTTTCTTTTATAAGATGGAACTATTTTCCTTAAGATGAAGATGATCACACCCTCTCGCAACAAGCAGACCTTTTCGGAATATAAGAACTTAGACAGTATATAACTTGTAGGTAGAATAATAACTCCCCAAGATATCCCCATCCTAATCCTTGAAACCTGTAAAACTGTTTCCTTGCATGCTAAAAGGGACTCCACAGATGTGATTAAGTTAAAAATCTTGAGATGGGAAGATCAATAGGGATTATTCATGAGGACCCAACACAATCACAAGAGTTCTTAAAAGAGGAAGGCAGAAGTGCCTGAGAGAGAGAGAGAGAGAGAGAGAGAGAGAGAAAGGACAGAGAGAGAAGACAGGGAGAGAAAGAGTAGGGGGAAGGGGAGGACTTAGAAGATCTTATACTGCTGAGTTTAAAGACAGTGTAAGGAGCATGAGCCAAAGACCACGGGCAGCTTCTAGAATCTGGGAAAGGCAAGGAAACAGATTCTCTCCTAGAGCCTCCAGAAGAAACACATCCTGCCAGAGCCTGGATTTTAGCCCAGGAAGACCTACTTCGGACTTCTGGTCACCAGAACTACAAGATGGTAAATCTATGTGTTTTGAGTTTGTGGTAATTTGTTACAACAGCAATAGGAAACAAATACACCAATGTGCCTTTCCTGAGAAAATTACTCAAGGAATTTCACCAGCTAAAAAACCCAATTATATCAGAATAAACATTCTAGGACAGAGATTGATACAACTGATGATCTAATAAAATGTATGGTCAAATCTGAATAAATGATAATGTGACTGTGCACTGTATCTTACAGCTACTGAAAAAGAAAAAGTATAAGGAAAAACTTTAAAAGGGCCCAAAATTGTTCTAATAAAACCGAGAACTAGGAGTGGAAGGGTAAAGTGCAGAAGTAAAAGTGAGAGGCACACCTCACTGGGACAGGAGTAGGGGAGGCGGGAAGCTGGCTAGAATGAGAAAGTAAAATAATGGAGGGAGTTAGGGTTAGTTGAGAGAGAACACAGATTTAAACATAACTTTTGTTTTGTTTTTTAAGATTTTTATTTATTTATTTGAGAGAAAGAGAGAGCAAGCTAGAGAGAGCACATTCATGAGTGGGGGAAGGGGCAGAGCTGAGCAGGGAGCCCAATGTGCTGCTCGATCCAGGACCCTGGGATCTGAATTGAGCCAAAGGCAGACACTTAATGACTGAGCCACCCAGGCGCCCCGAAACATGACTGTTAAAATAGGAAGTTAATAATAAAAAAGAGAGAAGGAGAAAGGAAGGACATTTTTTAACTAACTAGTGATACTAGGGCTGGGGAGATGAGAAAAAACAATCTGCCAAAGTAGGGAAAAGAGGGAAAACATATGAAATATAATGAACTATATCTATGTATAATATATAACATATCACAGAAAGAGAGGAAATGAAAACGGAATGTATTAATATTTATTCAATAAACATGTTTGTGCACCTTCTACGTGCTAGGCACTGTTCTAGGCAAGGACCAGCTTTGAACAAGACAGTTAACGTCTGAACTCTCATAGAAAAAAATCTGATGGTGACAAATGCTATGCCAACAACTGAAACAGTGACAGGATAGGAAGTGACAGGGTGACTAAACGAGATTAGGTTTTCATGGAAAATCACTCTGAAGACGTGAAATTTAAGCTGCGATCCAAACGATAGCAAAGGGCCAACCAAAGATGAGGGGGAAGGGCATTCGCGGCCAGCAGAGGGACTGGCTAAGGCAGAAAAATCCCAAGTATATTAGTTATCATAACAAACATCAATGTATGAACACTTCTATTAGAAGTAAAAACTACATGATTAGAGTCCAAAAATTTCAGCCAATATCTGTTTACAAAAAAATTCACCTAAAACGAATGTCAAATAAAGGATTAAAAAAAGAGGTGGAAAAAAATCAGCAAATTCTAATGAAAAGAATGTTAGGGTTAGCAATATTAATACAAAGATGAATTTTAGGACAAAAGCACTAAACAATCAAACCGATGAGGAGAAATTAGTGATGAGGAAAAACTGGCTGGTAGGAGAAGTGGAGAGAAAGTGGAATCCACATACACTGCTGATGGCAATGTAAAAATTGTGCAACCACTTTGGAAAACAATTTGGCAATTCTTCTAAAGGTTAGACATAATAACTAAGCCAGCAATTCCAGTCCTAGGTATTCACACAAGAAATGAAAACATGTTCATGCAGAAATCGGTATGTAAAAATTCATAGCACTGCTATTTTTTTAAAGATTTATTTGATTATAATTTTAAGTATATACATAAAGCTTATTTTAAAAAGCTTCCTAGCAAATAGTCTATTGTCTATTGGTGGATTCTACCCCCTTCAAGTAAAAAACAAACTAGAGAGAGTTAGAATAAGGAAAAGACAAATGTTTCCCATATTGTACTAAAAGATACTTTTAAATCATAAGCTGTTGGAAAGAGTGAGTGAGGTTCAGAATTGTACAAAAAAGGAATGCGTAAAATGAAATTAAGTAGACTGTAAACTCTATATGGGCAGAGACTGTGCCCTCCAGATCTTAGCACAATAGGAGGTGGTCAATTAATGCATCAATAAATGAAGGAACAGTAATGAGATAGGAAGTGAGTGGGGGCTTCAGGTTGCTAGATAAAAAAGAAAAACACTAATTCCTTTCCTCAATAAATATGTGAGGACTTATTCTAAAAGTAATCTATCTACAACACTGCTATCAAATGTTGTCTTCCAAAATTCTGCATAACTTCTAGATGTACACACATCTGCATAGAATGTTCTGGGATAGGGACGCGAGGATCCCTATCTGGCTAAGTGTCAGCCTTCGGCACAGGTTGTGATCCCAGGGTCCCAGGACTGAGCTCGCAAGGGGCTCTCTGCTCAGTGCCAGCGCGCTTCTCCCGCTGCCTCTCTCCCTGCTTGCATGCTCTCTTTCTCTAAAATAAATAAATAAAATCTTAAAAAAAAAAGAGATTGTTCTGGAATAAAATAGAAATTGAATAGAAATTGAATGTTATATAAAAACTACTCTGGACTCTGAGACAATTATAGAACTAATATTCTTTATCTGTAGTTCCAAAAATCTAAAAGTTCTGAAAACAAGAGGTTTTGTAAGTTTCCTCCGAAACTTATTTGGAGGAAAACCTGACCTGAACTGATGTTAGCTAATTTATTTATATGCTTACTTATATACTTAGAGTAACCAGACATTTCTTTTCTCCTTTTTATTTTAACGAGGGAGAAGGAAACAGAATCTTAAGCAGGCTCCATGCCCAGCAGCTGAGCCCAACTTAGGGCTCGATCTCACAACCCTGAGATCATGACCTTAGCCGAAATCAAGAGTCCGACGTTTAACCAACTTGGCCACCCAGGTCCCCAGTAATCAGACATTTCTCTGAGAAATACTAATATACTTGGAGGTGCTGCTCCAAAGGCCAAAAAGGCTGTTATATAATATGCACTTAACTACCTTTAAAAATCTGAAAGACTCTGAATTCCCATCATATTTGGTTCCAGAATAAGATGCTGTGTATTTGTATAAAATTCACTTTGAAAGACTAGAAAGAAGCTGTGAGTCTAGTCTGATCAATAATGGAGTAGAATTCAACTGAGTCACCAATCTAAGTAACATACGCTTTAAAATATTTACTATGAAGAAAAAACAGAATTAGAATATTTAGATTTTTCTAAAACAAAATTATTTACAAAAGGAATGAAAATGTATTTTGACTCTGTTTGAAAAATTAAGATTCTAAACTCACCCTTTCACTTTTCACAGAACCAGTGACATCATCATCATTTAGGTGGCGCTTGAACTTGGGAGGCATACTTTTTACTCAAGAAGCACTCTTCTGTTTCCCAGCAGAGTAAGTACTCACCACCTTGAAAAGAAAATAAATTTCATCTGACTGAGACTTTGGGGTAGAGCTAAATCACTTCACTAGTGTTCAAGGCCTTGCACAGAACAGCCTCCTTCATTTCTTGGACTTTACTGCCTTTCCGTTTGGTTCATTCCAGATGACCCTGTCCTCCATGCCAGGCTCCAATACATAAAAAATAGATAAAACTATGAGGAAGTGGATGTAACTTCTTAAAGAGAACATGTGGGGAAAATTAGTGCAGGTTTTTATAAAATTCAAGAGCACATTGGTTAGGAGGGGGGTAAATTAGGAGAAAATGAGACATTAAATGCTTTAAGATTTTAACCTGGAATTAGAAGACAGCAGAGCACTCCCCGTTTTCACATTTTCAGTTAGCTGGTTAAATAATTCAGTTTCTTCATCTGTAAAATAGTGATTTCTAGGCTTCTGAATGGAGTTGGGATGGTCAAATCAGGTAATACATGCGAAAATACTCTAAGTTATAACATCATATTTTAAAGCACAGCACTAGGCTCCAAGAAAAGGGATTAAGTTTAGTAAATGGTGGGTTAAACAGAGCCAGGTTTTTTGGTTTTGTTTTTATCTTATTGCTAGAGAAAGTCTCACAGCTTTTTACATGTTAATATGCATTGTGATTTTCCAGGAAAATGTTTGAGTATGCAGTTTACTAAATTTTGAGAAAAAGCTGACATGCAAATTTGAGTTTTCAGTATCTTGGATTAGTAGATGAAAAATGAGACTAGCTAAGGTACTGTATCTTTTAGTATGTGGTAGACACTGCTCAGCGATTTACATGTATTTTCTTTTAGTCTTTAGGACACTCCTTCAAAGTAGGCACTAAGAAACTAAGAACTAAGGATTAGTAAAGAAAAGTAACTAGTAGTCACTCTACTGATTAAAATAGCAGAAACATGGGATCAAATTAATCAATGGAGTGCATGATCAGTTTTAACATTTATTAACAGAACCTGTTCTGTTCTAGAAAGACCACGTTGCTGTAACAACCCAGCAGCCCTCTTCCCTTTTTCGCAAGAAGAAAAAACTCTGAGATCTTTAAGTATAATTAGACAACAGTTTGCTGGCTAATATTATATACAAGCCCAGAGTCCAGTTTCATAAACTAAATAAAAACAATATTTTAAGTTGGCCTATCAAAACAAATTGATAGTTTTCCCTGAAAGAAAAGCTTCCAAAACAGAGACTTAGCCATTTGTAACAAAAACCGAATTCTTGCTACGTAAGTAACAGCTCTAGAGTTCTTTACACAATATTTCTGTCACGTACATCTGGCCCATTTTATTCCTCATACTTTGATTTCAGAATAATTCATTCATGCAAAAATGTTATAGCACGCAGGGAAAAAAAAAACAGATGACAAAGGAAGCAAATGAAAAATCTGGGCTTTTCTTTTAATTATACCCACATGTTATTATTTATATCTTAAACCCAACAAAGGGGCTGCTTTAATATCCTATGGCAAAAACCAGGCAGACTCATAGCTTTACGAAATACACAGTAAAGCTACAAGTTTAATGATGAGCAAACCCCATCATCAGGTCCTGTATTCCAGGATCAGCCTCATGAAGGCAAGAAACCAGTCTCTGACAAACAGAAAAGACATCAGCAAGACATCAAGATTAACTATGCTCGATGAACCACAGGGAAACTGATGATTTGTGCCAAACAACTAGAAAAAATAAAGAACGCTCAGAACTGAGGTATATATTTCTACCTAAAATTTCTCCTGCAAAAAATACACATGAATTCGGGGATTTGTGTGTGGGTACATATAGAGTTAAGAGAGCGTTCATGATGTATTTCAACAGAGTTGAACAGCAATATATAATTCATTTAAAAAACGTCACATCACCATATGCTTCTTACGTCATCATCATACGTTTACAATTTCGTGTATATCTTTTGAAGAGCCAGTAAGTTCGCTAAGTGATTACATGGAATACACTTCTAACATGTTGTTTAATAATGTTGGCTTCTTTTTTGCTTTTCAGAGAAAACTAAACCCCCAAATATTTCGTTTCACAAAAAGCTTGAATCTGGGCAGAGGTTTCCCTTTTCCCGGCCTCCATTCCCACTTCCGACTCTTCTCCTCTCCATCACCAGTCTCGCTGGTGCAGTTTCACGGAAATACGTGACTTGGACGGACACGGCCTGGAGATGTTATTCACAAAAACTGTCAAACTGTAAGGATTCCCCTCACCTTCTGGTCACCATCAACGCCAGCAGGGTTGGCGCTCTTTCTCCCGTGACTTTAATGAGACGAATCCATCCCCTCCAGCAAGGAGCTCGGTGCCCGCCCCCGCCCCGGCCCGCATCTGTCGCACCAGGCCACGTCCCCCGACATCTGCTCCTAATTCTGGTCCTTTCTGCCCCAAGGGACCCACTGTCATTCCAGGCTACCTCCCACTCTTCTCCAGCCCGCCCCACGCCCTCCACTGTTCTCTTCCCCTCTCCCCCGAGCACCCCTCAATTGCCTTTCTCCTTGCCCTCAACCGCCCCCGCTCCGGACACCCAGTCCTGGTGGCTCCCCACGACTCCCGGCCCGAATCCAGCCTTTCCCCAGCCGCGGGTCCCTCCCCGACCCGCCCCCCCGACCCCCAGGCCGGTCCCGGAGCTCCAGGCGGACGTTGGGAGGCGGCGGAACAGGGGCGTCGTCTCCGTTTCCTTCCTCCTCACAGCAGCCCCTCCCGTCGGGACGGCCGGCGCCAGTACCTGAGTCTCCCGGGGCGCTCCGGGCCGCTCTCCGGGGCGGGCAGGGCGGGGGGCGGAGTGGGAGGCGCAGCAAGAAAGCGGGGAGGGGGAGACAGTGGGCGCGGACCCGCGTCGGCCGCTCCGCCGCAGCAGCGCCCCCGCTCATCGAGCCGATCGGTGCTCCGCGGCCTGGCGCCAGGCGGAGGGGGCGGGCCCCGGCCGCGGAGATGGTCGAGGGAGTCGAGCGAGCGGCGCGCGGAGGGCGTTCGGGGGAGGAGCAGGAAGCTCGGGGAAGTCGCGCGGGGTGGCGGAGTTCCGCGTAGAGCTCGGGGTTGGGGCCGAGGGGGCGTCTAGAGGGTGGTGCTTTGTGCGCAGCCCATGCCCCGGGGCTAAAGAGGCCGAGTAGGAAACAAGGAGGGTGGTTCGCAGCTGCAGGACAGCTTCGGATCAGCTGGGGCCTTTTCGGACGACGTGTGACCCCTGGTTTATCGGTGCAGCCGGACGAGCAGGGAGATGCTGAGGGTTGCTAACCCCGTCTCCTCACTCCAGGCGTTCGGAACGTCTGGTCCGGAGGGGAGATTTACTTGAGGTTGCACAGCTATTTTGGACAGATTTGGGACGAGGACTCGGTGTTCTTCCCCCTGTATCCTTATTATTTTTTAAGATTTTATTTATTTGACAGAGATCACAAGTGGGCAGAGAGGCAGGCAGAGAGAGAGGAGGAAGCAGGCTCCCTGCAGAGCAGAGAGCCCGATGCGGAACTCGATCCCAGGACCCTGAGATCATGACCTGAGCCGAAGGCAGAGGCTTAACCACTGAGCCCCCCAGGTGCCCCCGCCCCCCGTATCCTTATTTTAACCTAAAATAACTAGGTTCAGACACCCGAGCCTTCAGGTTTCTGCTGGGAAGTCACCCTTGTGTAGCCACTCCAGTGCTCTCTCACCGCCACCCCCCCCCCCCGGCCTGGAGGTTTAAATAGGATACCGAAGTCTGGGCGCAGTACTCCAGAACGATTCCAGATTTGCTTTTCCTTTCTCGTGTTCCACTTGTCCATTCCTCCCACACACACCGCAGCTGGACTGTTTACTCATTTCTCCCCTTTATCATCTGTATTACGCATCTTTCTCTCTTAATACCAGTAGGTCCCTGCTGATAGTGTTAGTGTGTTTTTAAGTCAAAACATTGTAACTAATTAAAAGAGGCCTTGCTAGGACAATGACTCTCAACTCAGTTACCTAAAGTTGAAATTACCTGTAAAGCTTTAAAAATGACGATGCCCAGGCACTACTTTGAGATTCTCACTCAGTTGGTCGGCGAAGCTGAGAAACGTGAACCATGGGTTCTCCAACTGAAGCTTCTGAAAGCCTGCTGTTAGACTCGCTCGCTACCTGTAAGGACGCTCCTCAGACCGAGGCTGACTCGGACCTAGAAGGGGGGCTTCTTGGTTTGTTTCCTGCCTAGCATGACGGTGACACTACTCCAGACTCCACAGACGACGCGAAAGTTATTTTTTTCCTTCCACAATTGATTTTGTATCTGTAACTCTGCTTGTTATGGAGTGCTTCCCTGCCTTGGTGCCTTACCAATTCGAGCCTGAGGCAATTACAGAATTAGCCCTTCTTAAACCACAGTTTGGCATGATTTTGAGTTGTAGGGGCACCTCATTTCATAGCTTCTACGAATAACTCCTTTTTAAAAAAAATTTATTTTACATATATATATTTCTATGTTATGTATATAACATACACATATTTATATGTATATTGTATATTTGAGAGTGAGTCCTCGGAATGGGGTTAGGGCCAGAGGGAGAGGGAGGGAATCTCAACCGAGGCCCCGCTGCCCAGCGGAGGCAGGGCTCAATCTCAGGCCACAGAGATCAAGACCCAAGCAGAAATCAAGAGCCCGACACTTAACAGCCGGAACCACCCAGGTGTCCCTTTTTGGTTTTGTTTTAACTATAATTCTTCAGTTCTGCCAACCATTTTGATATGATTGCTTACGGGAGAGGTAACACTAGCCCCACCCCTCAGTCACCCAAACAAAGTCCGTTTGACTATCCCCAACATATCTGAAAGCTCAGAAAAATGTCCTTTTAGTTACTATGAATCAGATATACCAGTAAGTGAAAGAATATAAACAGCACGGGATATAGGGTCAGAACAGGGTTCCAGTCTCACCCAACTTGAAGTATTTGTTTTTATACCCTATTTTCTCTTCCTTGAGTTTCAATTACTCACATGTTGGTCCTCTGAATTTTCTTACCATTTCTCTTTCAACATCAGACCTTCCACCTAACTGGGCCTGGTGTCCTCTGAGCCAGAGCTCTTTTGTTTTACCCTAATACTAAATCTCTGGGCTTCTACTGGATTGGAGAAGGGATTCTGAGGATTTGATTCTTAAACAACTTTTCTATTATTCCTTCTGTTTTTAGCTCACATCAAGCTCAGAGCTACCTAGCACTTCCAATTCCTGAGCCTTGAACAGGGTTTAGCTGTGTAAATCGGGTTGCTTCATGGCCTGTTTAGGGTTCTTGTATCAAGTCTGCTAAGGTAATTGTCACTGATTCACCTACTTTCCAGATTTCAGTATTTTGCTGCTATTGTCTCTGTTCCCACAAGGCAGGAAAAAAAATGCAAATCAATTACAAGCATGTGAACAACTGTTCAACATCAGTCAAATACCATTTTTCATCTATCAGTGACTGGGAAGGAAAGAGTTAATAAGCAGCCACTCTGCAATCCCTCCCCTCCCATTATGGAGGACTGCTCCTAGGAAAGCAAGCAAGCATGTGATTCTTAGAAATATGGTAATAACAGACTTCCTGGTAAACAAACTAGTATCTCCCAGTAGGAGAGTTTGTATCTATAGAATTCTTTTAGCAGGACAGCCTTGGGCTGGACTGTTTATGGTAAACACAGCAGGAATCTGTGGATCTGAGGTGCATGACTGGAAAATATCACGGAACTTGCGTAACTTAGCATGTAATGGAGCTGTGTTTCATAACTGAGTTGGTTCCTCCTGTAAGTGAGGTGACTGCATACCTTACTTAGAAACCACATCCGTTATTTTGGGCAGAGGTGCATCCAAAGCAGGAAGGACCCGAGGAGCGGCACCAAGAGTCCTGGATCTCGTCCTATTTTGTCTGTGCCTCTTGGTTACTGGTGCCTTTGAAATTAGTGAAGCTTGAAATTAGGTAAGATCTCTGATTTCTGAGTTGTGAGTCTAATTTGAAACTTTGATCCTTGTGTTAGCTCAGTGGCAGAGATTAAAAAGTTTGACAAGGGGCGCCTGGATGGCTCAGTGGGTTAAGCCGCTGCCTCCAGCTCAGGTCATGATCTCAGGGTCCTGGGATCGAGCCCCACATCGGGCTCTCTGCTTGACAGGGAGCCTGCTTCCCTCTCTCTCTCTGTCTCTGCCTGCCTCTCTGTCTACTTATGATCTCTCTCTGTCAAATAAATAAATAAAATCATAAAAAAAATAAAATAAAATAAAAAGTTTGACAATATGGTGTTGAAGGTATGCACCTGTGGTATTAGGGGTAAGAGGCTAACGAGGTGGGAAGAACGAGCTTTCTTAAAAACACTGTCAGTGGAAGCATAAATTGGTACAATTTTTTGAAGTTCAGGGTGACAATACATGTCAAAAATTTACACAAAGTTCCTTTTGACCTAACAATTCCACTTCTAAAATTTATCCCATAGATAAACTTACACAAATTGTATGAAGGCATTTTCTAAGAATATTCTTTAAGGGATTTTTGGAACAAGACTGAAAAAAAAAAAAAAAACACAACAAAACACGAAAAGAAAAGAAACTTTAACTCCCGCAGAAGGAAATGTTTGGTATATCCATTCTGTAGAACAGTATACAGCCATTAAAATGAAGTAGATCTACGTGTATTGACTTGGAATATCTCTGTATGTTATCGTAAGGTGAGAAAAGCAGGTGCAGAACAATATGTAGACTCCGCTTCCATGTGGGAATCACAAACAAAAACACACAAGAGCTGGGAATCTAATACAGAAGATGTTTTGAACCAAACTGTGTCCTCCCCGCCCCCTCCTAATCCATATGTTGAAGCCCTAATTCATAATGTGACTGTATGTGGAAACTGGGCCTTTAGGTAATGAAGTTTAAATGTGGTTGGTCGTAAGAGTGAGGCCCTAATCTTACAGGGCTGGTGTCCGTATGTGTGGGCACAGAGATGATGCCATGTGAGGACACCTTGAGAAAGTGGCCTTCTACAAGCCAGGAAGAGAGGTTTCACCAGAAACCAATCCTGATGGCACCTTCATCTTGGACTGCTAACCCCTACAACTGTGAGAAAATTTCTGTTGTTTAAGCCATCTGGTCTATGGTATTTTGTTATAACAACCCCAGCAGACTAATACAGAAAGGAAACCTTTCCTAATTGTGTGGTATTTTGTACCATGAGAATATTTTGGGTGGCTCAGTCATTACTGCCTTCGGCTCGGGTCATGATTTTAGGGTCCTGGGATCGAGCCCTGGATTGGGCTCCCTGCTCAGCGGGAAGTTGGCTTCTCCCTCTCCCACTCTCCCCGCTTGTGTTCCCTCTCTCAATGTTTGTGTGTGTCTCTCTCTCAAATAAGTAAATAAATAAAATTTTAACAAAACAGAAACTACAGATTTTCTTTCTCATTGAAATTTGGACTAGTTGTTGACTGGTTAATTTAAGAAGTTGGCTAAAGTAGTAAGGATCATTTAAAAAGGCAGATATAGGGGGGCCTGGGTGGCTCAGTGGGTTAAAGCCTCTGCCTTCGGCTCAGGTCATGATCCCAGGG